TCTCCGAATATCGAAAGCCAAACTCCCAACAGGATTACGTGCTCAAAAATCAAATAGGCACCGCCCTCCGAATCTCAAAAGCCAGACTCCCCACAGGATTACTTTCTCAAAAATCGAAGAGATACTGCTATCCGAATCTCAAGAGTCAGACTCCCAACATAATTGCTTTCTCAAAAATTGAAGAGGCACCGCTTTCCAAATCTCGAGAGCCAGACTCCTAACAGGATTACATGCTCTAAAATCGAAGAGGCATCGTCCTTCGAATCTCGAGAGTTAGACTCCCAACAAGATTACTTTCTCAAAAATCGAAGAGACACTGCTCTCCGAATCTCAAAAGTCAAACTCCCAACATGATTACTTTCTCAAAAATCGAAGAGGCACCATTCTTTAAATCTCGAGAGCCAGATCCCCGACAGGATTGCTTGTTTGAAAACCGAAGAGGCATTGCTCTCTGAACTTCGAGAGCCAGATTTCCTTGGATAAAGCATGTCTGCAATCTTCACACGCAACATCAGCTTTCCAGATACCACAGACCACATTTTCAAAGTGCTCTAACAAAGTTAAAACACGTGAAACTTTCAGCTCCCACTACATTGCTATGACCAAAAAAGGTAAAGGAATAGCATTACTACATGTTGTTAGGGAGATTCCTATATATGTTGACCTCCATCCTCCACAGCCAGGCAGACCTGCAAATAAAATAAATGCTCAACTTTTCTTCACATCCGAGAGGGCACTCTCAATAGAGTCTCTCAAAATACTCAGCTTATTTTCCCCCCGATAATATTTCTGCAAACAAGCCACACCAGAGCAAGAGTATCTCATATCATCAGGGTTAAAAGTAAGAGTATCCCATATCATGCTTTTTCCCTATCTTTCCTTTGTCCTTGTTCTTACCTGCAAGACAAGGAGAAAGAGAGCAATCAGTCAGCACTTGGAATCAAGCTTCCAGTCAAGAACTGACTGCCTGGAACCCCTTGCCTGATTACTTACCTGGCATTGCTCTTGAGTACTCATCTTCAACATCTTATGCTTCCAGAGAAGAAACCACATCTGCCTAAGGAACAAATAGGGCAAGTGAGAAGGATACAAGGAAGCATATGGAGACAAGCGTAACAGAACATGTGCCGATACATCCACTACTTTATCAACAGCAAAAGTATCCCATATCATCAGGGTTAAACGTACTCTAGATTTGATGGACTTGTTTTGACCTTCAAATTCTTGAGTCGGCCTTTTACTCTGGAGGAAACCAGAAAACCCTCCAGCCAGTTCAAGAATAAGCTTGTGGAAAGTTACTTCTTCAAAAGCAAAAGTATCTCATATCATCTCTTCTCCATTTTCTTCTCCTTATCCTTGTTGCTGTTTACAACACAAGGAGAAGGAGAACAATCAACCGGAAGCTGAAGTCGAACCTCCAATCCAAGTTGCTTGCTTGGAAGTCTGATTGCTTACCTTGTCTGTTACCTCATTCGGCAAATCTCCTAGCTCGGCGACTTGGGGGACTTCTACTATAGGGTTTGTTTCGTACTTGACCAAGCCCGAAACTACAAGTAAGCTTCAAGTGAAATTGATACATTACCTTGTGCATCTTCATCAGTTAAAGATACCACCCCTGGATGGAGGAAAAGTACTTCCAAAAAAGATGCCACATCTACATATGAGACAGATAAGGCAAGTGAAAATGATACCACACTTCGATACTTAGAAGTTTTATGATTACTCAATTGCTTGGATCTTGTAAGTCCCCAATCGAGGAGCTTCCCTTACTTGGGAACTTAGGGGAGCATTGTTTGTACCATACTTGACCAATCCCGAAACTACTGAGCACCGATCAACGTTATACCGTCAAGGACCCAGAAACGTTTCCCTCCAATCAGGATGCCAATCACAGTGCGACACGTGTCAGTATCAGAAGCCAATCATAGTGCGACACGTGTCAACATCAAAAGCCAATCACAACACGACATGTGTCAATGCCAGAATGAAACTAGAAACTCTCTTCTATAAATAGAGATCATTCTCTCACAATATTGCCTAATGTCATTTGGACTAAATCATTCACTAGTACTCACTAAAGGAAAGCTTGAACCTATGTACTTATGTAAGTCCTTCACAATTAATGAGAACTCCTCTACTCCGTGGACGTAGCCAATCTGGGTGAACCATGTACATCTTGTGTTTGCTTCCCTGTCCCTATCCATTTACATACTTATCCACACTAGTGACCGGAGCAATCTAATGAAGGTCACAAATTTAACATTTTCTGTTGTACCAAAGTCCTCACTGATTTTGTGCATCAACAAGTTTCAAATTTTCTTACTTCAAAAAATTCTGACACTTGTAACTTGGTTGCACAAAGTCGCCACTTGCAATTACCATCCACACATCTAATTTCCAAACGATCCTTAGTTGATCTTTCCACTTTAAACTCATAATTCTTCCTCATTGCAATCATAGCTAATTGTTTTTGCAACCCTTTCTTACTCGAGTACAATTGTCCGGCCATAATATCTCCATCTATATTCAAATTTGCAATATTATCATAGTCCTGTATGCTCTTACGCTTGTTACGACGAGACGACGATAAATTGAAATTGACATCGTTAGACTGCACATTATCGAAATGGGTATTGTCATGATAGTCATCAGTAAACTCAAACTCACGTCTATTGAAGCCCCACTAATCTGGGCATTGTCTTGAAGAACTTGACTTGGTTGTTCATCACCCAAAATGTCATCATTCTCTCGAATTGCCACTGTTGGTGATGGGGAACTACATCCAATTGGGTGTTCATCTTCAAGTTCATTTAGAGGATATGTTGTAACATATAACGGAATCTTGTTCGGTTTTGCAAAAAGACTTTCACATACCCAACTAGTCACATCGTTGTTGTCTACAATCTCCATCATATTTTGTATCCCTAAGTTGCTAATGCATTGATAATGTACTGAGATTCTAAATTCACTTGGACTAACACGAAGATGTTTATATATACCTTGTATAAGATCTTGATGAGTAACTTTGGTTGACACTACCATTGGTTTCGCTTGACCATTTGTATATTGGCTATCAACCCTCCTCCATTCGTAATGGATCACGGTCACAAATTGAGTCATATTCTGAAGGAAAAAAAAATTAATTAGTGCATCTAACTAACTTGCAAATATATTAAAATTAGGAAAAAGTAATAGAAAAAATTAATTAGCACATACAACTAACTTGCTAGGGTTTTGGGTTTAGGGTTTCGGTGGTGAAAAATGGACACCTCCCTGCAGCAACGCCAAAACCTTAAAAATCAACGCCAAACAAAAGCTCCTAATTTTCCAATGCTTTACCAAAGCTTTACCAATGCTTCTATGGACACCTCTCTTCTCTTGATTTTCTTCAATTGTTAATCTCTCGTTTTTTTTTTTTTGTCAAAATCTCTTCCTGTTTTTCGTTCTTGGTTGACTGATGTTGATTTCCATGAAGGTATTGTTTTTGTTGTGAGAAACCCTAATATTAAGGGTATATTAGTACTTTTACATCAAGTTTTGGTTAGAATTATAATAAAATTAAAATAGTGGCTATAATTCTATATGAGGTCTAAAATATGGTTACTTTCCAAATTTCCCAATTATGAATTTGTTTCTGTTAAATTGATCTATTGAAATTTTTTTAATTGATTATCAAATTTGTTTTGAGTCTGTAGCTTGAGCGTGTATTTTTGCTATATTGTGAAGAGCAACCTATACAATCAAATGGGTGATTTGTGGACGAATAATTGTTTGGTTGCTTATATGAAAGTACCCAGTTCGATAATGTGCAGTCTAACGATGTCAATTTCAATCTATCGTCGTCTTGTCGTAACAAGCGTAAGAGCATACAAGACTATGATAATATTGCAAATTTGAATATAGATAGAGATATTATGGTCGGACAATTGTACTCGAGTAAGAAAGAGTTACAAAAACAATTAGCTATGATTGCAATGAGGAAGAATTATGAGTTTAAAGTGGAAAGATCAACTAAGGATCATTTGGAAATTAGATGTGTGGATGATAATTGCAAGTGGCGACTTCGTGCAACCAAGTTACTAGTGTCAGAATTTTTTGAAGTAAGAAAATTTGAAACTAATCATTCTTGTTCATTAGATGTTGTTCAGCGTGATCATCGACAAGCAAGTAGTTATGTCGCTAGCCAATTTATAAAGTCAAAGTATGAGGGGGTATCACGTGTATATAGACCTAAAGACATCATTGAGGATATGTGAGCACAAGTTGGGGTTAATATGAGCTATGAGAAAGTTTGGAGAGCAAGAGAGCATGCATTTAACATGATCTGAGGATCGCCAGAGGAATCTTTTGCCCCACTTCCTGCCTATTGTGCCATGTTAGAAAGTAAAAATCCTGGGACAATAACACATATAGAAACGGATGACAATAATCACTTTTTATACTTTTTCATGGCTATGGGAGCCTCTATAAGGGGATTTCGTGGTTCTATGAGGCCTGTGGTTGCAGTTGATGGGACTTTTCTAAAGGGTAAATATCTGGGCACCTTATTTGTTGCTGTATGCCATGATGGAAAAAATAAAATATATCATTTGGCATTTGGTGTGGGTGACTCAAAAAATGACGCTTCATGGACATGGTTTCTTACAAAATTGAGAAGTGCCATTGGAGAGGTAACAGACTTGGTGTTTGTATCTGATTGACATGGAAGCATTGGTAAAGTTGTGCAAATTGTGTTTCCAGAGGCATATCATGGAGCTTGTATGTATCATGTAGCTGGCAACATGAGGAATAAATTTGGTGATGATGAAATGATGTTTAAGTTATATTACACTGCAAAAGCATACATTGTGTCAGAGTTTAATAGTGTTATGACTGATATTTGGGCAATCAAAGATGGAAAAGTAGGCAAATATCTTCAATAAATTGGGTATCATAGATGGGCTTGGGCACATTTCAGTGGAAAACGATACAACATGATCACAACCAACATTGTCGAATCCATGAATGCAAAACTGAAGGATGCTCGAAAGTTGCCTATCATTGCTCTAATGGATCACCTTAGAAGTATACTCCAAGAGTGGTTCAACGAACGTCAAAACACAGCAAGTTCATGGAATTCGACCTTGACAAAGTGGGCGGAGGAAAAAGTGCACAAGAATCAAAATAGAGGCTTGCGTATGTCGGTATGTATGATTTGTTTACATTTTCATGCACTTTCACATTCCTAGTGCACACTGGACACCTTAATTCGCATAGAATCGATACCAAGAACAGACGAACGAAAAAAAAAAAAGGAATCTACAAAAAGCTAAAAGCATCTCTTAACTCTTTATTTAATCAGTTGTGGCCATGAAGCATGTAATATTTCATGGTTGAGTGAGTTGGATGATGGCCAAATCTATGTGGTTAGTGCACATATTTTGTTAACCAAAAACATAGTTAAAATGTTTTAAACAAATAAACAAGTTGATAAAAGAATATGATAATTATGATTAATTGGTCTCTTGTTGTTGGTTGTCACTTGTCAACTATGCAGGTATCTTCCATTAATCACCATGCATTGCAAGTACATGAGGTAGACTTATATCATATAGTTGATCTAAATGCCAAGTCATGCACGTGTAAAAGGTTTGATCTCGACCAGCTTCCATGTGTCCATGCAACTGCTGCATGTCGAATTCGCAACACATCAGTTTACACTATGTGCTCCAAATTCTACACAGCCAATGCAATTGTGCTAGCATATGCGAAGCCCATTTGGCCGGTTAGAAACAAGAGTGAATGGAGTGTGTCAGAAGAGGTGCAGAATAGAGTTGTGTTACCTCCAATCAGAAAAGTTGTATCTGGAAGCACAAGACAAATAGATGTTGGAAATATGCCCTGAAAGTCAATCTTTGGAAGAAACCTTTCAGGACAATAAATGGATGTATAGATGACTCTTATACATCAAATGGCAAAGATACTATTTAGGACTATCTCTATAAACGATATATGTCCTAAATAGTGAATCCATGGACAATGGATCGATTGAAGAAGTAATCTAATGAAGTTAGACTACAGAGACCTTCTTCACATAACCATCATGTCCAAAAGGTTCCTGGTCATAGGATTGTCGGAGGGATACTGACAATGCATAGACCGGTACATACTATGTCCACTTCAATTAGAAGGATGGAAAGTCTCATCCCATTCGTGTAGTGACACTAAGACAAGTATGTAGGTGCTCATTAAGGGAATAAGTTCACTGAACACAATCGAACGAGAGTACTTGCATGGAGGTCTACTCACATGTCAAGCAAGTAACTCTAATGGTTGGAATAATGTAAGTAGTCCTTTGACCTGAGGCATCATCGTTGTCTTGTGGTTAAGTACTTGATCTTTTGATTATGTCAAAGTCACTCCATTCGCGGGTGTCCACGAATAGTTGGGGTAAGCCACTTAGTCATGAAGGCAAGTGAATGCCAACAAGGAATCTCTAATCCTCGTTAAGAGAGGATGAATACTCTAAGATATGATTCTGGAATCTTTCGGCCGAAGTATCGAGCGTAATAAAGGAAAGCGTTCCTATACGACTCAATTGAATCATATAAGAAGGAATAATCACATTAGGGGTTTGACATAATATATCCATACCCTAGTGATGTGATTGAGAGTATTGTTTTAGAGAAGATGAATTACATTGTAATTTAACTTAGGTTCTCCAAACAAATTCTACATTAGCTTGGGTAAGCATGATATATGGTTAGATGTCACTCATGGCTTGTGAGTTCTTCTAGATGATTAAATGTAGTCGTCAAAGAAGAAGGTGAATTAAAAGTAAGTTTTAATTCACTAAGTGATTGGATTAAATATAATCAATTGGATTGGTGCCAATCACCTCACTGCCTTGCTAATTAGAACTAAAATGATTGTTCACCAATACACTCTTGTAGTGAGTAATTTATGGATGATGGAAATAATTAATTGGATTAATTAGGTGTTGTGATTAATTAGAAAGTCTAAAGAAATCATAAAAGCGATATTAGATCATTTTGGGCTTAAAGAAACGTTCGGGTTTAATTGGGCCCATTGGGCCTAAACCCATTGGGCTTTTATTAAGCATTGGATGACTTGAAATAAATAAAAGCCCAAAGCCAAACAACACAAAGGGGCCGGCCAAAGGAGGGAGAGAAAGGTCAAATGTTGACTTGTTTCTTTTTGGCTATAAAAGGAACTTTATAGCAAATGTTTCATTAGGGTTTTTTGAAGTGTTAAAAGAACAAAAGAGAAAAAGAAAAATATCTCTCTAACACTCAAAGGGCCGGCCACCATAGGGGGATTTAGCTAATCATCTTTTCACCCCCTTGGTTATTCCTTCATCCTTCTCACTACACTAGTGGGTGAGGATCTTTAGAGGTTTTCAATTTTGGAAACTTGAAGAGAACCTAGGAGCACTCATTCTAAACAAAGTGGAGGAGGCAAGGAAGGAGGCTAGGCTCAAGGAGTTCAAGGAGCAAAGGGCTTGGAGGTGGTCCATCCTTGGTCTAAGATCTAGATCAAGAGGTATAAAACTACTCCTAAACGTTGTTCTTATATAAATTTGTTTTTGATGCATCTTACATAAACCTATGCATCTTGAAAGGGATTTGCATGACTATTGCTTTGATATTATTTGATAACATGCTTCCGTTGCTTTCGTATATAAATTTTGAATTGTATATGCATGCTAGTCACTAGAAATCCCACATGAAATCCCATGGTTTTCCCTTCAAGTGGTATCAAAGCCAAAGGTTTATGTATGATGTGTCCTTTTGGATTTTATGCATATGGGTTTTAATTTTATGTATGACATATTATTGCTTCATTCAAAGTATGTTTATCTTTTGTTTTTCAATTGTTGAAAAATATAAATCAATAGTTGAGAAAGATATGTATGCAAAAAGGTGTTTTGGATGCATGAATGAAGAATGAGTTTAGAACAAATTTTGGGGTTTTGAGTCATAGGGAGGGCACGGCAAAAAGGTGTTTTTATTTTGAATCACACACACACACTTTAAAGCTAGAAAGTAGAAATCTTGTCACTTTTTTTTTTGGGTTTGAAAAATCACCAAGAATATACAAATCTTGAAAATGTGTTCATGGTTTTGTTCTTGGTGTTCATGGTTTGGTTTTTGGTGAAAATGGTTTTATTTGTTTCTTATGCATTGTTTTGTGGTTTTGGATGATGTACAAACCATCCATAGCCATCTCAAAATTTATTCAAACGTAGACTAGTCTAGTTAAATTTCTATCACCCTTTTCACTAAAGTCCTTAAAGCAAAACCAAGTGACAGGCAAAATTTAATTTTTTCTCTACTTTTGTTGTTCAATGCAAATGGGTGAAACCTCCCATCCCCATTATGTTGGCCGGCCACCCTAGTGGATTACCCACTTGTGGGGCTTTTTTTGTAATGTTAAAGGGTTGTTTATACTTTCAAGTATTTACGGTTTGAACCCCAACTTTTCATATTTGCATTTAGGCCTCTCTATTTGAAAAGTTAAATATTTGATTTTAATTTATTAGTTGTTTTAAACTCATAATATATTATGCCCATATGCACTAATCTAAATGTTTATGTTGCATTCCATATGATTATTTAATGTGATTAAGTAGTTAGAAAAATGGTGATATGGACTTATGCCTTTAACGATAATTGAGCATGAGATAAGGCCGCTAAACTCAAATTGTTTTGAACCTTGG